GAAGGAAGCACTCCTCCAAAGGGCTGTGTCTATCGTATGGGCTCAGGCGAATTGGAGGAGCTGCGGAGGCAAATTGATGAGATGATTGTCAAGGGTTGGATCAAACCCAGTGAGTCTGAGTTCGGTGCACCGGTGCTGTTTGTCCCAAAGAAAGGAGGCAAATTGCGAATTGGAGATAGAAAAGAAAGCTTGTCGATAGGATACTAACGGAACCTTTAACAGTGGAAGAGTGAATGATGCACCTTAGTCCCAACAAGTTGGAAATAAAAAAGAAAAAGTTAGAAAAAAAAGGGGAAAAAAAGCTTGTCGATAGGATACTAACGGAACCTTTTCCGGCTGAAGAGGGGATGATGCACCTGTAGTCTCGATAAATATCTTGTTGATAGGTTACCAACGGAACGTAACCTATCTATAAGGGAACCTTTAAAAACAAACAAATGAACAAGATTGTCTATAGGATGCTTGTCTATAGGATGCTAATGGAACTTAACGGCCGAAGAGTGGATGATGTACCGTATCCTCAATAAATAACTGGTGTCCATAGGTTACGAAGAGAACCTGTCCATAACGGAACCTGTAACGGAACCTATTGCTGACTATGGGGAAGTTCACACTGGGTAGCCCGCAGTGTGGTCAGGCCCTAACTTGCGGTAGCCCACAGTGTGGTGGGGCCCTAATTCGGATGTCGAAACTTGCTTTCCCGAATTGGCAGGAGCCATTTCATCAAGAGCGCTGCGGGGCGTATTGGAGGCTGGGGGGCCTGCAGTCGTTGAGCTTAGCAGACACTGTATGGTATGGGCAGACGCCTTCCACAAATTCTCAGCAGCCTTTCGGCCCCTGAGGTGGGTTTCGTATGTTGTTTTCAACTAGCAGTAGAGACTCAGTTAGCCCTCATGGAGTACGTCATTGCCCCCAGCAGTGGCAAGCACAAAGATGACTGGCCACTTCTTGTGCCCTGTTTTTCCGAGATATTCACTGTCAGAGGGGCCTGCCTTTGGGCGCGGCACGATACAAAGTCTTGTGCCGAAGAATGGAACTTTGTCATTTTCTTGATGTTCCTGCTCCGATATCTCCTGCCTCCAATTACTTTGAATGCCTGCATCATGTGAAGACATGACATCCGTCTCTTCAAGCATATGCACACTACTGTCTTCACCTGGAACAGAACGTACCATCATTCTGGCTGTAGCTCGACTGAAAGTTCTGCTAAATTCTGCTATAATCACCGTTCGTCCTCTCTGGGGGAAGACGGTAGGACTCCATCCTCGACTCAATCTTGCCTGTCGTCATGGCGCGGTGTGATACATTCAGGGAAGTGCAAGTCTGAGTATGTTCTTGGAGGTGGTTTTGCGAAAGGGTTCTAGAACGGGTATGTGAAAGGCCACGACTTCCTGCTTGTTCGGACACAAGTTGACGATGGAAAAGGTGGATGGTCAAGGGAGGGGAGGAGAAGGAGAACGCCTCCAAATAGTTGCTCGTTTATGTTTTTTTATATATGTCTCCCTGAACTTCCCGTGAAGACATTTGTCGATGATGCAATCATAGCATGTGCAACAGAAATGTAACAAGTATATGCCCAAAAGAGAAGGTAAGAATCCGGAAGCACTTTTCTGGCCATGGGGTTCCATACCCAAAATATCCTACTGACCTCTCTTGTCTGCAAGCAACTTTTGCAGAACGTACCTCTTTGCTTATTGTTTCACACTGCCTGCTTTACCCTGGAAAGTGTGAACCCGGTCCACAGGATGGTAAGGCCATACTTAGTTCCAGGCCTGCAGCACGAGTGCTTGAGAGTGGCTGAGAGCACAGCCTATGCTTAGATCATTGACCACTACTGTCTCCGTCCGAATAGAATGACGGGTCATTATAGCCGTATTCAGGGCAACTTTCATTCCAGATGCAGCGACAAGAACTGGGTGTTTCACTGGGGTGAAGACGATAGTGCTAACAGCATTTTCTCACATTGTGTTGCTGGATGTGTTTTGCAGCCGAGAGAAACTGAGGCCCGAGAAGGAACTAAAACGCGCCGAGGAGCAAATTTTGTTGTCCAAGATTGCTGTGCGTGAAGCCATGCATGAGCTCGATGACCTCAGCAAACAGGGAGCTATTGATAAAGATGCATTTGATTCAGATGGCCGCATTGGCTATGAATCGGTAAATGTCGCCACACAGTTGCTGTCTAGGTGGAACAGAATGTGTATGCTCACTTCGTTGCGAGTTTGTAAACAAAGACAAAACCATATTGTGTGTTCTTATCTGTTCATGTGTGTCTTGGTTTGTGTGTGTGCATATGCATGTGATAGTGTATGTTGTGCTCGTCCGCATGTGTGTGTGTTAGTTTGTGTTCGCATGTGTGCCCTCGTGTGTGTGGTTCATACTTGCAAATTTGTTGGTGGAATCCTGTCGAAGCTTCGGATTTCTTCTGAACTGAGCAAGGCATGGATTTCTTCAGTGAACTGACCGGTCAGAACACTCGAGATTGGAATACGAGAACAAAGATTCGAACACAGATTGGGAAAATTGCATCTGTACCCCACTTAAAGTTGGGAATACCCGCTATACCCAGTCCCAGTGCCAACTTGCATCTATACCCGGAAAACGGACGGTGGAAATTATTTGCATGCCCAGGAATGACGTCGACCCAGGTTGGTACCGCAAAATTGCACTTATAACCAACTACTGGAATGCACAAATTATGAACGTATCCAGGTAAAATTATGGGCATACCCAGGACTGAGGTGTACCTGTTATGGACTCCGCCAGGGCTCGACCCCTGGTCTATCTTTTTGCTGTTTCTGCTGCATCCCGTTTTCGGCCTGGCACCCTTTTTTTCCAAACCCCTCCTTTGGTACCGTCGGATTGTGGACAACTGGCGCCATGCTGCAATTCGGGTGCCACTTTCAAATACCGCATTTTTCAGTTCTGCCCTCGGGGCTTTTGCGGAAATGCCCCTGGTATCGTACGTGTCACCGGACACTCTCCACTTCCGTCGTTGGCATCTCAAGCCGGTTGACCGCCCTCGAGTCCCAAACCACTACCCCCTCCATCCAGGTGGTCACAACCACCACCCCCACGTCCACAGCCACGTCCAGCCACACCCCCCTGCCGACCTCCTCCACTCCTACTACCTCTACCAACACATCCACCACCTCTGGCTCCTCCACCCTTCCCCCCCCCCCCCCCCCCCCCCCCCCCCCCCCCCCCCTTCCTCGCCGAACCACCCCAACCCCTCTTCCCCCCCCGCACTCCCATACTATTTCACAACCCATCAT